CCTACTTGAGATGCACCTGTGGATGCATGATAAGGTCCGGTCAGCCCTGCCAACTGTGACCTTGCATTGTCAGCCCATGTTCATCTTGGAGTCAGCAATGACTCCAAGATCCCTTTCTGCCTCCGTGCTCTCAAGAAGGGAGTTTCCCATCTTATAAGTGTGCTGCTGGTTCCTACTGCCCAAGTACAGCACCCTGCACTTGTTAGTATTGAAACGCATCCTGTTTTTGTTAGCCCACCCCTGCAACCTATCCAGGTTTGGTTTATATTTATATTAACATTTATATAAGCACTTACGGCTATGTGTAGTGTTCTGAAATGCATTTGAATATGCAATAAAAGGAGTTGGGAGGAAAAGCATTGGACTGTGGAGCATACATATCAAGTCCTTATTGAATTATGCTGGATTCAAGAAAGAAGTGAAGAACACTAAAATAGGCCAGTTTCTTCTACACTCAAGTTTGATATAGTTGCCTTTTACTTGAGGCTTGTCTACAGAACATGGGTACTGGGTCTACATGCATGGGTACTGTTTCACAACAGGAGTGCTTTGTTCCTATTTAGTATAACACACTTTGAGTAGATTATAGAGTAAGATTTACCCCTCCCCTCCCTACCCCATACAATTATTCAGGAGCTTTTAAAATTTGGGCTCTATTTAAACTTACTTTCAACTGTACCAGCTAGAGTATTCTCTATTTAAAGTTCACATGGTAAGAGGCCCTTGCTTGTATCCACTATATATCTTTTTTTTTTTTTTTTTTTTTTTTTTTAAACCACAAGTTCAAATAGGCATTGCTGATCATACTGCTGGTAGTAGCCATCTTGAACCTTATGAAAATTGGGAAGTCTGTACACAGAGCTTATAAAACTAATTTTTATAGTTTTATACTCTGAATTTTTCAGTTCTCACAAGCTGCTTGATGAATTCATTCTTCATGGGCTTGACGTGTATAGTTTTGATTTCTGATGGTCTCTGCTTCCTAAGCTGTGGTGCAAACTAAATCCTAGTTTGGGGAGGAATTTTGAGAAGAATTTTATGGATAACAATTTAAGCCTCCATTTGTTGCGGGAGTTTTCTGGGTTGAATTCACTCTTGCCCTTTTTCTTCTGTTAAGTTTTGAACCGGTGAATATCCTATCCTGCTTCTGGGCAATATTGCTGTTCTTCACAGAAATCCTAGTTAAACTTTTTAGCCATGCCTAGCATCTGTGTCTGCACATATAGTGTAAGTCGTCTTGGCATATGGATCTGACAAAAAGATCTAGTCAACTTCCAGTTATCGGGGCTAAGTTGTTCATTTTCTGCTTGCTATAAAAGCGAAAGAAGAAAAAAAAATACTGTACTAATAACCAAGAGCAAAGAACACCAGTGAAATGTGTTTGTACGTTTTAAGTACATCAAGTATACTTGTATGTTGTTAACTGTGAATAGTGCAGCAATGAAAGAGCAAGGTACATTCTGAAGGTGGGGGAGAAGATCTGTGAAATTTCAGTGAGAGAATAAAATTTTGAACTTGCTTGTAAATTCTTGTGCCTGAAAATACCAGCAATTGGAAAGTAATCTTAGGTAAATTTACAGTACTGAATAGAGTTATTGCATTTTCAGGACTTTAATTTTTGTTTTTGTTTAGATAAGCCATCACAAAACTCAGAGAATGAACAAAATTCTGTAACCCTGGAAGTACTGCTTGTGAAAGTTTGCCACAAGAAACGAAAGGTAACATGACTTGAGAAACTGTTTAATGCATATTGAATTGCTAAGTTTACACGATTCTGGAACATCTTTTTAAGGAACATTTGCCAACCTTGTGGCTAATAATAGCATGATGTTGCTTTGGTTAAGAGATTGTTCATCTTAGTCAGTGCTCCTTGGAAGTAATCTTCTGTAAATTACTTCGGATTATGGACAGGATTTTCAAAAGCATTTAACTCTGCTTCCATTCAGGTCAGTTGGGAGTTTAATAAGGGTTTTTATAACTTAGCTGCTTAGATTGAATTTGTTGTGTATTGAACCTTTTATTTAAATGCAGTTTGAATTTGTTTGCCCCAATCAGTAATCTGAATCTTTATTTCCAATTTATTTCTATTGAATTTGGTTGCATTCTGGTGCTGCTTGAAGATCTGAATAAATTTAGGTGCTGCATAAAGGTGATGCTATGAGGAGTTTAGAACCTCTAAAGAATATTGTCCTTTCATTTTCTTATGTTTACCAAATCTTTTTTTCTGTTCCCATTTTTTACATTTATCCTCTGAATTATTTTGATCAGACCAACAACTAAATAGGCATTACAATTATTTGCAGAAGTCATTTCATTTTTCTTTAAGATGCTGTGACTTTCTTTGCTCACAACATTAGCTATTTTTACATTTCATCCCAATTACTGTAATCAGCAACTTTGGTTTCCTTAAGTTATCCACACAATTAATTGAACTCTAAGATTGAATCTAGAGACAAGTTCTAATTCTGACAAATTTTTCCTTCATCAGGTTTTTTTACATCCCTTGGAAACCCTTATTGCCATAATTTGGGAGTTCCCTGATTTGGGTTGCAAATACATTTTCATTTTGGTTTAACTTGATAGAAAATATTCTGTTTTTATCTAAAACTGTTCAGTCATTCTGGGACGCTTTTAAAAGTTGTCATTAATAAATATTGTTCTGTAGAGTGAATGAATGGGATGATGGGGTACTGGTTTTGATTATTTTAAGATATAAATTTTGTTGAAGTTTATAATTCTAAGGGCTTCCTGCCTTGTAGTTCCAATATTACAGAGTGTTCCATGATCTATTTGGGAGATACTGAATACAGTAAATCCTAGGTGAGCGGTTCTTTATCTCGCAAACAAGTCATGAGTGCACTTTGTAAATTGGAAGGACGAGGAAGGGGGCCATTAGAATACATGTAACCAAATATTTCTTCTTTATTTTTTTGATGTAAACAGAATTAAATTGGGATTAAAAACTGTTTTACAATCTTTTTGAATGCCACGTTTAGTGTTTAAATTAATCGCTTTTCAGAAAGATGCCTGCTGCCAGAAGTGGTTATAAAATGCCAGTTCTATTAACACTTTCAGTTTTCTAGTTGCATGCCAAGCCTGATGCTATAATTATGGCTTAGTAGTTTCCTTATTTCCATGTATTTGAATCTGCTTATGCCAAGCAAATACATTAGTTTAAATGGCTGTTATTGTCAAAGTGATGGCAGATACTGTTTTATAAACAAAGTTAGGGAAGATTAAAAGTATTTTTAATACTTTAGCATTTTAATTTTCTCTTTATAAAATTCCCAAACCTTAAACTCTCCTCTTTCCATGCTTGTAGGATGTCAGTTGTCCAATAAGGCAGGTCCCTACAGGTAAAAAGCAGGTGCCTTTGAATCCAGACCTCAACCAAAAACCAGGCAACTTTCCATCACTTGCAGTTTCCAGCAATGAGTTTGAACCCAGTAACAGCCATATGGTGAAGTCTTATTCGTTGTTATTCAGAGTAACTCGTCCAGGAAGGAGAGAATTCAATGGAATGATCAACGGCGAGACCAATGAAAATATTGGTAACTTCGGGGTTTTGGGGGGGGCTTTTTTTAGTGTGCTTTTGTAGGTTTAGCTTACTACTATATGTGAGGTTTCAGAACTTTGGTATAAATTGTGCTTGGTGGGCTGCAGAATCAAACAGACGATTAAGTTGGCTTTCACTGGTTTTCTGTTTCAAAACAGTACCTAATACACATTTGTTTTGGATAATTATTACTGTGCATGTGTTTTTTGCTGTATGGTGAACAAATGTAAGGCTGGCTTTGACACCGAGTTGATGATACAGATCCGATAACTGTACTTTTTTTTTTTTTATTACTGTTATTAAAGCCTTGCCAAAACAGCATTGGAAGGTTACTGCTAATTCAGATGTCTGTATTCCACGGTATACTGGTCTTCATGAGTTGAGTAAATATGTTTTAAAATTGAAGCAATACTAAATTGAATACTTTAATTTTTTATCACAGTTATGCGGTGTTTTATAAACATGGAAGTTTTGGTAATCTTATTTGGAGCATACTAATCTAATTCTTTTTTGCTATTATAGTTATTAAAATACAGTATGCGAGGGAAAGGAGAAACGATCCAAAATCTGTAAGCCGATTTAAATAACAGCAGGTTAAAATGAGTGATTGTATTTGTAACTAGGTGGGACTAAATCTAAACTGTCTCAGTTTCAAAAATTGTGTTGCACTAAATGTTTCATTCTTCTGCTAAGTTATAAATTAAAATTCATGTAACTGTCATGAATACAATGTTGGCTCATAATTCACGATAGCATCACAGCTTAATTATTTGTGTTTAACAGTTTTGTGTCTTATTTTTCAAATGCAGATGTTAATGAGGAGCTTCCAGCCAGAAGAAAACGAAATTCTTCAAATCGTGAAGATGGAGAAAAGACCTTCGTAGCACAAATGACGGTATTTGACAAAAACAGGTAATGTGATGGAAAACAATAGTTTAATTGTTATGCATGTGGTTACTAATCTCTTCGGTAGTCTCTATTGTTTTCAGGAAATAGCTGAAGCAGATGGTTTTAAATTAGATTTTGCCCTGAAAATACTGTCTTTGTGGGGGGTGGGAATAGCCTGCAGATCTCATGGTGAAAGTTACACTTGTGTTAACCATTGCGATTTAAGTTTTAAAATCATCCTGTTGATAACTAGCATCGTCTTATTTTCTACTAGCATTTCAGGGAGAAATTAGTTTTCTCTTGATGCAGTGAGACTACAGCAACTTTCTCCTTTCAGTTGCGAGTTAGGCATTGATCTGAATAATAGTAAGCATGTTACACTCAGATGTTGAAATATCAGTTGCTGTTGATTAGGCAGGCATGTTGATAGAATAGTAATTATATATTTTAATGGACTTATGGGATGAGGTAGGGTAGATTTGCACCTGATAGACTAACTATATTAGAGAGAAGCTTTTTGCAAGCTTATTTTATATAATCGGATATCATGGAAAACTTGCTAAATGTTTGCAGCTTTATTAAGCAACTTGGCGCTAGTCAGTGTGGCTGTTTGCAGAAGTTAAAAAAACAAACAAACCGCACTTTACCAGAAGAAGAAGTAGTGTGTTACTTCCACCCGGCTCTGCAGCATCTTTAAAGATTAGGCGCTTCACTGGGGCTTTTGGTGCTTTTAGCTAAAGGTCATTCAATCAGCTATTAGATAAATGCCCCACTAAAGCGCCTAATCTTTACAGACGTTGGGCGAACTGGGTTGAAGTTAACATGCTGCCTCTTCTGGGCGTGTGCGGGGCTTGGCATGCAAATGTGCTGACTTTTTAAAAGTAAAGTGCCAGTTCTTTTGTTTTGTTTGGTTTTTTTTACATCTGCAAGCACCCTGTATTTATAAAAAGGCAATTTGTTCTTAGTTACAGCTTAAAGCAATCCAGATGCTTCAAAAGACACTTAGAATACTGGGGAATCTACTTACTAGTACTGTTTTACCATTTAGAAATATTATATATAATGATAGGGGTGAGATCTACTTGTGTTGCCTTAAAAAAATTGGAATTTGGGATGGGAGATTCTTGATTGCTCCATTCAGTGTAGCTTAATATAGGAGTTCCCTTTATTGCACCTTGATCAAATGGTCATCCTGCTGAGTCTCTAAATCAGTCATTTAACGGCATGAAAAGTAACTTTATGAAGCTGTAGCTCTACAATACAGCACTCGGTGATTCTAGAAAAATGATATTCAAAAGATTTTTAGTACTGTTTCTTTTTTAGGATTTTATCTTAAATGTCTGACATACTTTGTTTGCTATTTTCAAAAAATATTTAAAGCTGCTGCAGTGTTATGTAGCCCAAGTTATTACCTAATTCTAGTAGGTAGATTGAGGTATCTTCAGAATAAACTTGTATTGAAGGGATAGGTTCTGATTTGCCACGGAGCTATTGTATGGTAATTCATAAAATGCCAGTACTTACAACCCCTGCTGCCCCCCCAGTTACAATTATACAAAATTATATTATAAACTATCATTATTTGTATTTTAAAATTGTAGTTTTAATTTGGGTGGCCATTTTCAAGAAAAATATTCTGAAACATGGCAGTCATTTCCTTTTTTTATGCTGACTCTTAATTAAAGTACAAGTAATATATATTACCTTATTGAAATACTTCTGCTCAGTTGGGGGTGGGGGAAGTGCCTTTAATCTTGGTCAGGGCAATGTCTGCAATAGACAAATAGGGATACAACTAACCAGATGAAATCTAAGTTGTAAGTTGTTTCTTTGTGTCTCTTTTTTTTTTTTTTTCTTGTTTTCTTTCAAAACCTCCCCCCTTCTTTTAGACTGGAGTAAATGGATTGGAAAGTAGTTTATCAAACATTATGAAGTAAAGCAAACAGGGTTTATACTTTATCAGCTCTGTTTTTAACTTCTTGTTTACGAACCTCAGTAGAATATTTCATATGTGAAGGATAGGGAAAAAGTAAGGCTAGCCCAAATCAGTGGACAATTGTCACAGTACCTTTCATGCTGTAACATGCTGAGAGATTTAAAATCATGGGCAACGTTTTGATGCAAGTCCTAATTGTTATGCTGAAAAAAAACAAATGGTTTGGATAAGTTCATGTAGTGCTTTTTACTTAGCAAGCAGCTTTTACATTTGTTTTGTTGCAGATGAGGTCTTGATAGGAACTGGGTAGTGGCTATAATAACAATTATGCTTTTAGAATCAAAGTATAAAATCTTGAAGTGAGCTTATGAGTTGCAGTTTGACATTACAGAATGCTTAGTGTTGTATGTTCCTATAAAAGCATCTTAGAAATTTGTGTGGCTTCTAAACACTTCCGCTGGTATGTACACTCACTTTACTGCTTCTTCACTTCTCTTTGCTCTTGGATGCTTTTTAGTGTCTAACAGCAAAGAGTTTTTAAAATACTTTTCTCCTGAACTCAAAATTCTAACAAGTTGTATTTGGTGCTATGAACGAAATGCTATTTCATGGCACTGAATGGGATTAGATGAAGAGGGAAGTGGAAAAGTTTCATGCAGGGATACTTGAGCAGTAGGAGATGCTGCAGATGGAAGAAGCAAATACTTTTTAAAATTTTATTGAAATTGTGTGAATTTACACACCATCTGTGATGGCTCTCCTTGGACAAACAGATCTTAAGAACTCTTGTACCTTGCTTGGTTACCTGTGTAAACCTTGTTCAGAATTGCATGTTGCAGCCAAGCTTCTACAGCTGTTACGTTCATGTAGATTCTTCAATACACCTGTTGTGGTCCTCGAGTCTGTTTCTGAACCATGTTAAAAGATGCTTGAGTTCTCTTAAATAGATGATGGAAAGGCATTATTTTTGACATCTTCATTCATTAAACCAAATATGAGTTTTCATAAGATGGCTTCTAGGAAAAAATACTTTGACAGTTCTTTGGCCTAAGTCATGATCTTGTTATGTTCTGGCTATATTAGTTTGCCCAGCTGGTATTTTTCACATTACAGCAGGGATAAACTGGATGTGTGTGTGCTTGTTTTTAACATTCAGCCTATGTTAGGTTTTCTTCCATTTACAGGAAGACTCACTATTGTGCGTATTTTCGAACGTGTCACTATATTTGTATAGCATGTAGTATTGCTTAGATAGGTGGTTTTGGCTCATTCTGATGTTTGGTACTAGATGCACCATTTTCATCATTTTATCTCCCCCCATAAACTATCTGAGAAACTTGCATGAAATGGATGCAGATATCCCTGCAAGTGAACTACTGTCTAGTGTGTATTTGTACAAGTTTCCTGGAAATGTATTTTGCATGTAAAGAACACTCACACTCCCTTCTAGTGGCCATTTTGTTAAACTTATTTTTCTGTGTACAGGCGCTTGCAGCTTTTGGATGGGGAATATGAAGTAGCTATGCAAGAAATGGAGGAATGTCCAATTAGCAAGAAAAGAGCAACATGGGAGACTATACTTGATGGGAAGGTATGAACCATTGTCTCATTAGTCTAAGAGCTTGCTTATACCTCATTGCTTTGGTTTGATGAATTTAAGGAACAGTCACCACTCTTCCTTTGGAAGTGGGTTAAGCTAAACAGGAATAAGCCACTGTTGTTCCACAATAAGTGTTCACATACGGATTCTTTCTGGAATAACTTCAGATTTGGAGAAATGGTGACCACAAGAAAGCTAAGGGTTAGAACAGAAGCCAAACTTTAAACGCTAATCTTAAAGTGCTGGCTCTGTTTATGGCACTTGGCTTTGCTTTCCATCTCAAAACAAAATTGTTAATTTGGAAATGTTTATGGACTAGTTCCTGTACATAGGCAAAAATCCACAAGAATAACTTCCTGAAGCAAACTGAAAAGTGGTGCGTTTAAAAAGGGACAGAGAGCCATTAGAAAAAGGAGATGAATATACAACATAACCAAATGCTAGGAAACAAGTATTAATAAAGACAGCATTAGAAGTCTTATGAAAATGGATATATGGGTGCAAGTAAACCCAGTAGGACTATTCATTGTGACTTTTTTGTCTTTGTTTACATGCTGCTGAGCAGTGTTTTTTTTTTCTCTTGCTGCATTTAGTATTATTAAATACTTTCCTGGAAATTCCAAAGAATAGCTTTAATTTAGAAAATATTTACACTTGTGGCCAAAAGCCATTTTGCAAAACCTTATTTTTATTTTTTTTTATTGAACACAATTTCAGTATCTTTCCAAATACAAACTTTTGCTTTTTTTTTTTTCTCTCCAGAGGTTGCCTCCATTTGAAACATTTTCTCAGGGACCTACGCTTCAGTTTACCCTTCGCTGGACAGGAGATACAAATGATAAATCTACAGCTCCTATAGCTAAACCTCTCGCAACCCGAAATTCCGAAAGTCTCCCTCAAGAAAACAAGCCCAGTTCTGTTAAACCTACTCAGACTATAGGTAAGCACTCTTGATTTTCTTACGGTCTTGGACACCCTGATGGTGCTCCAAAGACGACTGTTATTCTTGCTGAACTATCTACCAGAAAGTTTCCTTGTTGTAGCACTAAAACTAAAAACTTTTCAGGTTTGTTATACACCAGTGCTGTTTGTGAAGATAATGTTCTGAGACCTGAGCACCTGAAATTGAGCATGTTGGTTTGCTTAATATCTGCCCCAAGCTTTTTGTAGGATTAACATATTTTAATAAGAAGTAGGTGTGGGGTGGGAGGAGGAATATATGGAATTCTTAAGGGTTTATCTGTCCTCAAAGCTTATTTTAAGATTAGGAACATTGGCAAAATCAACATACGTATCCTGGTAAATGGTAGTGTATGATTAGGAACCTACTGAAATTGCAATTTTTGCAGAATCGGGCATTTTCCATGAAAAACAGTGGGCTCTGCCATTTTGACAGGCTTGCTAGAAGAAGAAAAAACCTTCACTGCAAGCAGAGAAAAGTGCAGGAATCCCTGCAGTCTTGGAGCATGGAGTGGGGTGAGCATGCCTGCCATGTCCCAGCTTGGCAGTGACGGGCAGCTGAGAGGCTGCAAGTGGCTGCACTGGAGTCCACAGAGCCCTGGCCTGGCTCATTGCTGCCAGCAGGTGCATGGAGGCCTCGGGGTGGATGGCGGAGAAGGGGCTGGGGCTGCAGTGCCCTCAGCTCCTTCTACACTGTCTACCTTGACGCATGCATGAAGTTTAATTGAATACTTAGACTGGGGTTGGCCCGAAACTGCACCTTAATTACCCTGATTAAGGCCAAGGGAACCATTCATGTGTGGACTAATGTCTTGCCCTGGCTTAATCAGGGTAATTAAACCATTGTTTCGGGGTATCTGCTAATCTGTGGAAAGAGGCGGTGGGGGGCTGCTGGAGCCTCTCAGCAAATCAGAGGTGTGTGGAGGGAGGGGGGCCTTGCCACAAGCCCACAGAAATGGGGGCTGGCCTTGCAATCTCCCTGTGAAATGGGCTGCCTCTGCCTCCTTGAATTGGGTAGAGACCCCCTCTATATGATGCAAGTGTTGGAAAAGTGCTAGTTTCTATGGATGCTTTTTTCTGCTTTCTAAAGGCTCAATTTTTTTCTAATATTTTGCATTCTACCAGATAGTTGGGTTCAATTTCCTAACCTTGTGCATTCTTGTGAAAATATTCTGTTAGTTAAAATTTGTTGTTTGAATGGTATTGCGTAGCACTTAACACCCAATTGTGTTTTTTTTTAAATCATGAAAAACCTGTGAAATGTGTGGTGGTCAAAATGTCAGAATAAGTTTTGAAGGGTCTTTATATGTCATTGTCAATATAGAGGTTTTGTAATCTAAGGGTAATGATGCTTGCACTATTACATGAACCTTGTATGAATATAAGTTCCTGAGGCTTTGGTTAGCTTCCAACATTTGCTGTTTTTTGTTCTAGACCATCTGCATGTGTGACTAGTTTGAGGAAATTCAGACACTGAAATATTCTGAAGATAGTGTTAGAATATTTTCTAAAATAAAACTGAAAAGAACAAATCGGTCTTAAAGAAAGCTTCAGTAGTCCCATCCTCTACCAGTTGCACCATGATGTCTTGCTAGTAAGCTGTTTGACTGCCAGTGACTTTTTTATTTTGAGACAGTATTACTTTTCATAGTTACTTACTATTACTACTCAGTTTTATATGTAAATCACGTAATATTAAGATGGTGGTATAACTTTTTACAGAACCATATTTCTTGACAGTCTTTTTACATAAAGAATCAGAATTCTGAAGTTTAAAAAAACCCAAACTTTCCAGCTTTGTTTTGTCCTTTCATTGTGGTTGAATTTCTTCTTTAACATTTCACCGCCATCCTTCTTTCAGGAACTGGTGGGCATTTATTGTAAGCTCTTCCCATGGTAGATTAAGAGTCTGGAATCCACATGGTAATATTTTGATCATTATATACTCATATAATGATCAAAATATGATTTTGATCATAAATATTCATTTAATGATAAGCAGTATTAGATGGGCTTAATTTTATTTTATTTTTTAATGTAATTCAAGCCTAGCCTGAAAATACTGCAGGATGAAATCTAATTGATGTAAGTTCAGCACACAAAAATAGAAGGCATCCAGGACTGACTGGGTATCTGTCTCTAGCCTTTGTCTTTGTGGTTTAATGAGACCACAGAAACATTGTCGTTTTGAGTGCAACTGTAGTGGCTATCCCAGATTTTGCAACCTTTTCTTTGGTTCATACGTCAACACAGCTGTTTGTACCCCTCTCATCTCTGGGCTTTAGATTGAGTTGTTCAAGATAGGGTAAGACTTGAAGACTGCTTGGAACCGTTAAATTTTACAAAGGGCAGCAGTCTGCACTTGCATTAGTTAGGCAGATACAAGTGCCAAGGCTGTATTTTACAATAGCACCTTAAAAAGCTTACTTAAGTCTGCTGCTTTCCCAAGGATGCATAAAGCTCTAAGGGTGTTGTGTTGTAACCACTGTTCTTCCCAAGTCCTAGAAAGAAAATTAATGAAATAAGTTGTTTTAAGATAGGAAGTCTTTTCCAAGTATGGTTGTACTTTGCTGCAATCCAGAAAACTAGAGGAAAATGTGGTACTAAGAAAGTAGCCTACAGGACACTGCTGCAGGTGGTACAGACAGACGACCTGAGCAGGGTGTGGGGCCCCACCCCTGGACACAAGGAAGCAGGTGGTGGATTTGGCGGTGGGGTATGGCAAGCGGCCAGACACGCTGGATTTGGTGGGGGGATGCCGAGCGGCCAGATGCAAAGCCAGTGGCAGCGTGGAGTCACTGCGCCGGTCTGCCTGGCTCCTCAGGGTCCCCCAAAGCACAGGGCCCAGGGTGGTCGCTCCGATTTGCCCCTCCCCCCATGGACGGTCCTGAGTACAGACCCGAGTACGAGGCCTTTTCTAGCCTTTGCTTGTGCACTACAGGAAGGTTGTGTGTGTCACAACCCAAGGGTGTGATTTTGTTTGTGCGCGCTTTGGCACTGCTAAATTATTTCCTGCCACTAGGAGCTTTCTTTGCAGGGTGCATT